CACCAGGCGGGCAGCCGTTCAGAAAGTCACATGGGAGGCCGCATTCTTTCAGCACAGGAGCCGTCACGCCACTTACTGGAAAGATGTCAGACAGACGTGGCCCGTCCACAACTCTCTGAGCCAGGGGGTGAGGTCACACAGTAGCTGTGCCAGAGGGTGCCGAGGTGAGAGACCGCCTGGGCCCGCCATCCAGGGACGTGGCCTTGGCTGTGGCTTTGATAAGCAGGGTGTCCTTAAAGCAGCCCGGGACCCACGGCCGATGACGACGAGGAGTCACTCTGCTGGACAGGAAATTCCTCAGCCTCAAGAGCCATAGCAGGAGACTTGGAAACAGCCAAGAGGAAGTGCCGTGAGGGCTTCCACGCGGCCAGAAGTGACGAGCCAGCCGGGAGACTGTGGGAACAGCAGAGTCTGGGCAGAGAAGCCTCTGACCATGCTGCACCCCCATTCTTCTGGCCCAGCCCGGCTGTTCCACCCCGGGTGTTCCACCCCGGGTCTCAAGGTTGCTGTTGGTTGGGTTGTCAGAGGAGGCACTGTCAAGGTCAGATCTAGTCTCTCTGACTCTGGGAAGGTAGAGTTTACCTGGACTATAGAGGGGAGGGACTGGGGGTGTACCAGGCCGCTGCATGGTCAGAGCAGGTGCACAGGTGGAAAAGCCAAGAAGGGATGGTAGGGGACAGGAGTGGGAGGATGGACCACCCAAGACCAGGGAGGCTTAGCCTGGTGGGGCAGGAAGTGAGCGGGGGAGACCAGAGGAGTGAGACTGTGTGAGAAAGAGCCTGAGAGAATGGAGAAACGGAGGCAGCCACTCAGCCGCCATGAGGCAACAAGGGCCATGGGACAGTCAGGTAATCTGAGGCGTCACACCCAGGGGCAGGGATTAATGGGCCTGTGACGGGGGTAATTTTCTGCTAGGCAGTCAGGGCGGGGCTTCTATGGGCCAAGGTGGGCAGCTGGGCCAGAGGACTAAATACCAAAACCACTGTGAGGAAGAACAAAGGGAGAGAACGACCTGATTCCTTCCAAACCACAGCAATCAAGACAAGGTGGTACTGGCAGAAAGGGTGGACACGTAGATCCATGGAGAGCGCCCGGTGTCCAGAAACAGATCCACGTGTGTGAGTCGTGGTAATTCATCTTCCACCAAGAGATAAGGACAACTTCCTGGCAACAGGAGAGCCTTTTCAGCAAATGGTCTGGAGCAGTCAGACATGCGTGTGCCTGAAAAACAGCTTTGACCCACCCCTCACACCACGTTTCAACACGGACTCAAAACAGATGCTAGGTCTAAATGCGAAACCTAACGCTACGAAGTTTCTGGGGTAACATCTCCGTGATCTAGGTCAGGCAAATGCACAGTTCATAATAGGAAAAGCTGATACTGAGTCTGTCACCGCGTGGAACTTCTGTCCTTTAGCACGACATTATGGCAGGTGCGTGGTGCAGTGGTTAAGACGCTGTTGTGAGGCTCACCTGTCACGTCAGTGTGCACAAGTGAGTCCAGACTCCACTTCCACATCCAGCTGTTTAAAAAAATCATTTATTTATTTGAAAATAAGAGGTACAGAGGGAGAGGGAGAGACAGATAGAGAGATCTTCCATCCACTGGTTCATTCCCGAGATGGCTACTATAGCCAGTGCTAGGCCAGGCTGAAGCCAGGAGCCAGGAGCTTCTTCCAGGTCTCCCATGTGGGTGGCAGAGGCCCAAGCACTTGAGCCATCTTCCACTGCTTTCCCAGGTGCATTAGCAGAGAGCTGGATGGGAGGCGGAGCAGCCCGGACTCAAACCAGTGCCTATATGGGATGCTGGTGGGCATTGCAGACTGCGGCTTTGCCCGCTACACCACAAAGCTGGCCTGATTCTAGCTTTTCTTACCCTGGGAGGCAGCACACACATATGAGACCCTGAGTCCTTGGCCCCTGGTTTCAGCCTGGCTCAGCCAGGCTATTGTGAGCATTTAGGGGGCTGACCAGCAGATGGGAGATCTCTGTCTGTCTCTCTGTCTTTATCTCTCTGCCTTTCAAAAAGAATTTAAAAAATAAAGACGCAGTTAAATAAATGAAAACAGATTTGTGTTCAGAAATACATAAAGAACTCTCCGAAGTGGATGGTGAGAAAAAGCCCGATTTCAACAAGGGGCGAAAGAAGACGTGCTGGGGGCAGGTAAGCGCATGAAAAGATGGTTTTAGTTCTCAGAGATGTGCAGATCGGAGTCCCAGTCAGCTACCACTACGCACCGATTAGGATACTACAACCGACGCACCAACCGACAAACCTGCCAACAGCAAGGGCTGCCGACGGTGTGCACCAGCTGTGACCCTCCTACATTCCTGGTAGGAATGCACCAAGGCGCAATGGCTCTGGAAAGCAGTCTGCAAGTTTCTTAAAAAGTGCAACACACCCGACCCTGCGACCCAGCGATTGCTCTCCTAAATCGTTACCCAAGCGAAACGAAAGCTTACGTCCTCGCAAAAACGTGTCTGCGAATGCTAATGGCAGCTTTATTCATAATCAACAACCACAGGAAACAGCCCTGATGTCCATCCAAAGAGGAAGAGAGATAGGCGACCCGTGGTCCAGCCGGAAAACGCTTGCTACCCAGCGGCAAAAAGAAAGGACTCACCGACTCACGAAACAGCATGAGAGAAACTTAAGTGCCTTTTGCCAAGTGAACGGAGCCAGAAACAAAAGGCAACATATTGTACGACTCCATTTATAGGCGTTCTGCGAAAGATGAAACTCTTGGGGGCAGAACGCGAATTGGTGGCTTGCGGGGTGGGGAAACCGGGCTCAGCGCATGGGAGGGCAGAAGTTTTTGGATGGATGGAGCTGTTCGGTTTGAGACTGTGGGGGCTGGAAGCATGACTGTGCATCTGCCAAAACCCACGGGGCTGCAGCACCACACACAAGTGGATTTTTAAAAATCCACCAGGCTCTTGGGGGAACCCCTAATGGAATGCAGACACCGAAGGAGGAGGGGTGGGGGACAGGGAAGGAGGTGCCCTAAGTCACTCTGGAACTACTCGGAGCGTTTTGTTTGGCTATGGTCAGGCTGAGTGAAAAACGCGCTCTTCACAAATGTCTCCTCGCTTGTGAATTCATTAGCATTCTGAAGCCACTGTGCGGGCATGCCGGGGTTGGACAAATAAGTAAATCTATTGTGGATGGTGACAGCCAGGTCTCTCACCTCAGAGAAAGTGCCCACAAATAATCAACAGAGAATGCTAGAGAGAGCCCTGTGATGTTGGGTTGGGGCTGGAGGTGTCAGTATGAACACGTGTGTGTTCACACCCGTGTGGTATGCATGGATTACTCTACACCTTTCCCAGCTCTGTCTGCAATGAGGGCCCTGAAGCAGTGACTCCCAGTAGCAATTAGCACACATTGCACTCCACTCTCAGTTTAAAGACCGTTCTCCAATGAAACAAAACAAAGGGGCCGGCACTGTGGCACGGTAGGTTGAGCCCCCGCCTGCGGTGACAGCATCCTACATAGGTGCCGGTTCGAGTCCCAGCTGCTCCTCTTCCAATCCAGCTCCCTGCTGGTGGCTTTGGGAAGGCAGTGGAAGATGGCCCAAGTGCTTGGACCCCTACACCGATGTGGGAGACCTGGAGGAAGCTCCTGGCTTTGGATCAGCCCAGCTCCAGCCTTTTTGGGAGTGAACCAGCAGATGAAAGACCTCTCTTTCTGTCTCTTCCTCTCTCCATAACTCTGCCTTTCAAACAACAAATAATCTTGTGTTTTTTTTTTTTTTTTAAAGAACCAGGTGATAGTTATAGAACTGAAAAATCCAATAGCTGAACTAAAAACTCAGTGGACGAGCTCAGCAGCAGAGACAGAAAAGGCAGAGTGAACTTCAAGGGATGCCTCTCTGACCAGTGGAGAGAAAAACAGATGGAAGAAGGAGGAAGAAAGAAAGAATAGAGTCCCAGGGACTTGGAGGTTAGCCAGGGTCTAACTACCACATTGTCAGAGGGCCAAAAGAAGAGGAAAAAGAGGGTGGGGCTGAAAGACATTCTCCAAGAAACAGTGGCCGAAAACTGCCCAGGGCTGCCCTGAGACCCGAGCCTACAGAAGGTGGGAGAATCCTTTTATGGACTAAATGTTTGCGTCCCCCTGCCCAGTTCCTATGTTGGAAATCTACCTCCTAGTGAGAGAGCATCAGAGGGTGGGGTCTTCAGGGGTTGACTGGGACTAGGTGAGGTCATGAGGTTGGAGTCCCCACGAGTGTGCACAGGCCTGCTGAGCGCAGGCTTCCTGTCCCAGAGGAACTCCTGGGAGGACCTCGTCTGTGACCTGGAGGTGGGATCTCTCCAGATGCGGGCTGTGCCGGCGCCTTCCTCGTGGACTCCAGAGAGAAATGCGTGTTGTTTAAGCCGCTCAGTGTTTTATGGGGTATTTGTTACAGCAGCCTGAGCTGATGTGATCTCACATATGAAAAACCCAAAGAAATCCATACCAATTATAATTAAACTTCTGAAAACTGAAGCAGCCAAAGGCGGTGTGGGGGGGTGGGGTGGAGGGATGACACCTTAAACAATTCAAATGACAGCATGACAGCAGATTTCTCATGCGGGAGAAGAGAAGCCAGGAGAAAATAGTACAACACATTTCTTTTTCAAAAAAAATTTATTATTGGCCGGCGCCGCGGCTCACTAGGCTAATCCTCCGCCTAGCGGCGCCGGCACACCGGGTTCTAGTCCCGGTCGGGGCGCCGGATTCTGTCCCGGTTGCCCCTCTTCCAGGCCAGCTCTCTGCTGTGGCCAGGGAGTGCAGTGGAGGCTGGCCCAGGTGCTTGGGCCCTGCACCCCATGGGAGACCAGGAAAAGCACCTGGCTCCTGGCTCCTGCCATCGGATCAGCGCGGTGCGCCGGCCGCAGCGCGCCAGCCGCGGCGGCCATTGGAGGGTGAACCAACGGCAAAGGAAGACCTTTCTCTCTGTCTCTCTCTCTCACTGTCCACTCTGCCTGTCAAAAAAAAAAATAAAATAAAAAAAAAAAAAAAAAATTTATTATTTATTTGAAGAGAGAGATTGTGCCTCCATCTGCTGGATCACCCCTCCAGGAACTGCAAAGGCTGAGGCTGGGCTGGCGCCAGGCTCGTGAGCTGGGAGCTCAATCCAGGTGTCCTGCATGGATGACAGGGGCCCGATTACTTGTGTCATCACTTGTTACCCCGCAGGGCCCGCCGTAAGGGGACCCTGGCACCGGGAGCTGGAGCTGGGGATCAAACTCAGGCTCTCCAGTGGGGCAGGCAGGCAGGCACCTTCACTGCCAGGCTAAACCCCGTCTCTGTCTAAGATACTCCAAGTGCTGAAAGAAGAGAAAGAAAGATTTAGAGCCACGGTTCTAAGCCCAGCGCAACATCCTTTGGGAATGAAGAGGAAATGTAGACATTTCCAGATGAAGGGAAGCTAGTGCTCTGTCACCAGCACATCTACCCTAGAAGAATGGCTGCGGGGCCTCTTTAAAACACAAAGGAAATGAGGAACGGGATCCTGTAATCCAGGGAGAAGGAAGGGATGCAGGAAGCTCCGGCGTCCACGCTGGCCCTGGTGTGCTGCGTGCGCGCCTTAGCTGGGTCTCACCCTTGGAACTTGACTGAGTGCATAAGGAGCTATTTGAAGCTTCTGCAAAAAGAAAGAGACGAAGCCTTGCCTGGATTTCAGTCATGTTAGTGACACCAGCAGTAAGCACAACAAGCTTTAGCACGGCCGTCTCTCAGCGGTGCCCACCATGTGTGAGGCTGCTCTGGGTGTCTGCGTGCTGCTCCCATGGGCTTGGCACTGTCACTGCCCCCACTGGTTCGCAGATGCAATGGGGAAGGCGCAGAGGGACTTCCAAGTAGCCGCGTGTTCATGAAATGCTTCCGGAATTCATACCCTTGTCCTTGGTGTGAACCGTGTACTTGGGGGAGGGCACTGGCACAGTGCCAGGCATTGCTGGGTGATGGGTGGAGGTGTGTGCTTGTGGCTTCTATGTCATTTGGTTCAACTCCCCACTCGGTGTGGACCCAACGTCTTCTGTAGCATCCCTGATGAAGGCTCCTCCACCGTGAACACCCGAGGCGTGGGGAGTCCCTCCCTCTCGCTGCAACCCCTCCCACCGTGGGGCAGCTCTGGTCCTCAGAAGGGACAGAAGGTCCTTATTCTGGGCCCAGCTCTGCCTCCCCTCTCTGGGCACCCACTGCTTCTCGTTTTACCCTTGGCTGCGCTCCTGTCTCTCCCACACCCACAGGTTTGTCTCACCAACGAGAAAAGGCCTCTCCTTCCCTTCCGTCAGTTTTCCCTTTTGGGAATTTGAGAGCAGGTTGGCCAGGGAGGTTAGAGTCCACGACTCAGCTCCAGCGTGGATAACGAAGGCAAGGGCTGCCTATGGGGGCGGGGCGTGGGAGAGGCGCTCGGAGCCCTTGGCTGGCTTTGAGGCATTGCAGATGCAAAGGAACAAATCACAACAAATGACTGTCTGCTGTGAGGCTGTGCATCGGGCTGAACGCTTTCCTTATGCCATCTCGTCTGAGCCCTACCACACTCTCTAAGATGTCCCCTAAGACCCCATCTCTTTTTTTTTATATTTATTTTTTACTTGCGAGTCAGAGTTACACACACACGCGCGCGCACACACACACATACACACAGAGAAGTCTTCCATCCGATGGCTCACTCCCCAATTGGCCGCAACGGCCGGAACTGGGCCGATCTGAAGCCAGGAGCCAGGAGCTTCTTCCGGGTCTCCCATGTGCGTGCAGGGGCCCAAGGACTTGGGCCATCTTCCACTGCTTTCCCAGGCCACAGCAGAGAGCTGGATCGGAAGTGGAGCAGCTGGAACTAGAACCGGCGCCCATATGGGATGCCAGCGCTTCAGGCCAGGGCGTTAACCCGCTGCGCCACAGCGCCAGCCCCTAAGACCCCATCTCTTACAGAGAGAGGAACCAAGGCACACAGAGGTCAAGTTGTATGTGCAGGGTCACTCAGCCGACACCAGAAGCTACTGGGACGCAGATGCCAGTGGGTCTGGGGAAGCTGGCCCTCATGCCCCGCCCCCCCCCCCCCCCAATGCTCCGGATGCTGGATCCAGGCTGTCAGGTGGAAGCTGCAGGCAGACAGGCAAGTGTCTGCAGAATGGATGCTCGTGCCAGAAGTCAGCAATATCGGGCCGAGGCAGCCAAGTGCCGATCGGAGGGCTCCGTGACTCGGACAGGCCTTTGGACCACACTCACACGGTGGCATCTCATGAGGAGCATGTGACCCGGGCAACCTTTAAGACGACCAAGGAGGGGTGAGGCATGGGAGGGGTGCAGTTGGCAGCACCGCTGAGGCCAGATGAGCTTCAGTCGGCCACTGGGATCCGCCCCCTGCCCTGTCCTGGGGCCTGCAGCTCTAAGTCTCTCCCCAGATGCTGGGGTTTTCTGAACACTGAGATCCTTAGGGGCGAGTTTCCACCCTGTTTCTGGGAACCAGGCTCCAGACGCTAGCAAGGGGAGAGGGCTGGTAGGCCTTGGTGTAAGGGGCCATTTGCCTGGGGAGGCCCAGCCCCAGCACCTGCTCAGAGAGAGAAGGCACCAAGGTGGCCCCTGGAAGCCCCTTCTTCATCCTCACTGCAGTTATCCCTGGGAGGCCAGAGTGGGCGAGCACCTAGAGACGGACAGGAAATGTCAGGGCACATCACCTCCGATGGCTTCCGGGGGGGTCCCAGGGAACCTGGTCCTGTGGTCAGTGAGAGCTGATGGCCCCAGTGGACAGGAAGAAGTGGCATGTTGGGGTGGTAGCCATGAGCAGAGAGGGTGTTCCAGAGCTTGCCGGAGCCTGTCCCCCTCACCTGCTGTACCGGCCAGGCCTCCCCAGGTGTCCACACACAGGGTGACAGGACGACACTGAATCCGAGCCCCAGTTCTTTCTGCTCCAAGGAGCTGAGGCCTGACATGCAGTGCTCCCTAAGTTGGGGTGATGGGTGCCCAAGAGAACGCAACTTAGAGCACCCAACATGGGTTCACATCCTGACTCCAGCACCTCCGAGAGAGACATCTGCAGCTGGTTATACAATAAGCACTCTGTGGCTCAGTGGCCCAGAGCAGGTAAAACCCTTAGTGGCAAAGGACCTGGCTCCGAGTCAGCTCTCAGCAAGCGGCTGCCATTGTCACAAATCTTTTTGTTATGTTGGCCATGGACAACGGTGGCATCTGTAGTCAGGGTGCGCAGAGCCTTGTGGGAAAAAAGGAAGTCCAGGCAAAGTGGCAATAAAAGCCAGGAGGGTGATCCCCACGCAGCAACGGTTGATGGGGTGAAATGGGCACTTCTACAAACACGGTTTTTAATCGTTGCAAAACCTCCGCAGTAGGTGTTTTTGTCCATTTTATTTTAATACGGCAAGATGAGCCTCAGAGAAGACATGCAACTTGCCCAGGATCACACAGTAGGTATGGGGGAGACGGGGTGGGAGGAGGAGACATTTGCTCTTATTCAGGCCTGGGCCGCCTCCCTCCAGGTCACCAGAGACTGGCTCTGGACCCTGGAGCAGCGTGGCTGCAGCATGCGGGCCTCGGATTTCTCTCCCGCTGAGCAGGCCTGTGAATATCAGGCCCTGAGTCACAGGCCCGTGGCTGAGAATGAGCACGCATCTGGTCTGCTGCTTTTGTGCTCATGGGATGGAGCCCGTCCCAGGACAGTGTGGGGTTCATGGCGGATGCGAGGGCAGATTTGTGGTTGGCCCATACCCACTCCGTCAGCCCAGGGTTCTGGGCTGCACTCAGCCTGCACGGAGCTCTCCTGATCCTGTTGGGGGGTGGGGTGGGGGGGCATACTTAGATTTTCCTGTGCTTCCAGATCTGCCCTCTGCAAGCTGTCACCTGGCACCAGAGTGGCCAGGCAGGTGGGAGGCCTCCTGGGAGCGGGCAGTGGTGGAGGGGTCCGGGAGAGGGAGGCAGAGGGTGGAGAGTGGCACGGAGAACGCCCTCCACTTCTGTGGCTCTAGAACCCTCACTGCGGAGGCCTGACCCAGCCCCTTCCCAGGCCAGGATGCTGAGTGACTGTCTGAGCGCAGGCATCTGGTGAGCATCAGGCTGCAATGGCACCGACCAGCACAACCAAGGCCCAGGTCTCACCTCTTCTACACATGGTATCCCGCCTGGAGCTTCGCTCTGGGACCAGGGCACCCTGCCACTGCCTGCAGAGAGGCCCATGCTCATCACAAGTCTCCCCTTGGCCAGAAGGGGGTCGGCTCAGCTCTTGGAGAGCACCTCATGTCTTGTTAGATGCACAAGAGGGGCCCAGAAAGGCTGAGTGCCTTGGCTGGGGTCACAGAGCAAAGGGGGCCACTGAGCCAGTCTGACTGCAGGTGTCCTGAGCCGCAAGCCTGCGTGGGGAGGGGCTTGCACACTCTGCTCCCTTCTTCCCAGGAAGATACCTGGTTACACAGATGCACGAGGTGGGGGCGGGGAGGGGGCAGGCAGAGCGTTGACCAGCCCCACCATTCAACTGTTCAAACACCCAGTGAATGGGTGACACTGAACAGCCCAGTGCCCCACCCTCCTCACTGGAGCACCTGGGGCAGCCTGGGGCTCCTCCTTTGTCTGCAATGATTCCCCAGCGGAAGAGTGAGGTGGGCCGACCAGGTCGCTGGTGTTCCCCCCCCCCCCCCCCGGAATTCCCGGAGCTCTCCGCGGAGCTGTGGGAAGCAGCCACCAGGCTCGGCTGTCCCCATCCGTGAGACCGGGCTCCGTGCCCGGCTCGTTGGACGCCTCAAGAGAGAGACGCACGGGGAGGAAAGGGCTTGCAAAGAGGGCGGGCACAGGAAAGGCAGGAATTGTCCCGGGGCCTTTGTCGCTCCCCGGAGCTGCAGCGGGCGACCTGCTCGCCAGCCGCCAGCCGGGGCCTCGCTTTCCCTTTAAGTAAGCGTTCTCCCCGCGCGCGCGCCCGGAGCCGGGGACTCAAAAGGCCCGGCCCACAAAGGGCCGGCCCCCCAACCCCCCCAGACAAGCTGAGAACAATGCGGCCTGTTTACCTGACAGATTGTCCGCTTTCTTTTCATCTCGTAGGAAAAGGGCTCCCGCGGGGAGCCGCTAATCCCAGGGTAAACAGATGACCTCGCGGTGCTTTCTCCCGGAGGTGGGGTCCTGAGCGCGCAGCGCCCCGACTGTGCCAACAGACCCCGGAGGCGGCGGGCCTGCGGGGGCGTGGCCCGGGGCCGGCCCGGGAGGGGCCTTTCCCTCTTGTCAGTTCTCTTTTCTTCCTTTGTGACTGCCGATTGAATGGGGACAAGCTCAAAGGCGAGGCCGCGGAAGGTCAACGCCAATTTGCGGGAAGAGGCTGGGGGGAGGAGAAGGGGCGCGATCCAGTGTGTTCGGGAGGCCTGACCTTCACCTGGAAGCCGCCCCTGCCTCTTCCCCTTCCCCGGGGCTTCTCTGCAGACAAGGCCTAGGGCAGGGCTGGCTGCCAGCAGGTGCTCCGCTGAGCCCCAGTGTCCTCATCGTGAGGGAGGGAGCGACCCGAGGCCCAGGCAGGATCGGGGCATCAGAAGCCAAGAGAGTAGGAAGGTGCTTTCTGGGCCTGGGCGCAGGCAGTGCCAGGACAAAGGCGCTGTGTGGGACAGCGCGGGGCATCGAAGGCTTGTTGTCTGCGGGTGGGAAACCCCGTGGCCCCGCTTCCCGGCGGGGCGGCCTTGGGCGAGCCGAGCCGAGCCGGGACCTCGCTCGCTCTCCAGTTTCCTCCTTCACAGTAGAGGCCGGGCAGTCCCGCATCAAAAGTCTCTCAGGAAGATGAAAGGCGCTCGATACATAGTAGACACTCAGTACCCAGTTCCTCTGGGTTTAGCACCGGGCAGGCTCTTCCCCGTTCCCTGAGCGAGGCTGGAGGGTTGCGCCCTCCTCCGTGACCCTGACCGCAGGAGCAGAGAGCGCCAGCACAGGCCCTCACCGCCATGCAGCCCTCAGCCTGCACCGGCGCCCTCGCCCTGGCTCCCCCCAGCTGGGTCTGTTCTTGGCTTAGGTTGCCGATGACTACTTGGGTGCCTGTGGCCCTGAGGAGCAGGCAGGAGGGGAGCGAGCACGTAAAGCAAGTTCATGGGTGTTCCCTTCACAGCAAAGCCGGCTCGCCAGGGCTCTATTGCCCTCACACAGTAAGAACTCTGGACACTTGCTAGTTCTGCTCTGCTACTGGTAATGCCAACTTGGACTGGGCTCTCCGAGCTTTCTGTCTCCGCCATCTTGCCTCGTGGTGGTAAGATGGTGGCCTCAGCGCCGTGGGAAATGCGAGGGTCTCCTAGGAAACCCCCTGTTGTGGTGTCTCATTGGCCAGAGGCAGGTCACATGACTATCCTGGCAGCAAAGGATGCTGGGAATGGAACGCCTGCCCCTGTTTATCCAGCGTCTACCGCAGAGCCAGGTGAGGTGGTGGGCGTGTGGGGGTGGGAGCGGGCCTGGGGTCGCCCGCGGGAGCCGCAGCCAGGGGGGAAAGTCACGGTCTTGAGACGCCGGTGCCAAGGGCAGAGAAATGCTTACTCAATAAGCAGTTAGATTGATTTGCTTTGACATTCTGGGCCTGAAACCAGAGATGCAGAGATAAAAGCCACTCCCTGGCCGACCAGAGTGAGGGGGAGAATAATAATAGTAATAATAGCAATACGGAAGCCAAAACTCAGCGAGCACGTACCCTGTGCCAGGCGCTGGGCACTTTCCAGACTTGATTTATTGCATGCCCACGGAACTCCAAATGACAGTGCCGGGGAGGAAGCTGGGGCCCACGGAGCCCGGGCCTGTGCCCCAGGCTGACTGCAGTGGGCTGGATGCCAGAGCCCCGCAGCGGGCAAGGGCGTCGGCTTCTCTGGGGAGGAAGTGGGAGGCCCCCCAGAGGCAGGGAGACTTAAGTAGGGTCCAGAAGCAGGCATCGGAGTTCCCCAGCCAGACATGGCCCGCCAGGTGCCCCAGGTGAGAACACACACGTGATGTTGACAAGATCTGCAGTGCCCCGTGGATCTTTTTCAGAAATTCCTGTGCTGAAAATCAAAATCATACTTTTAAAAATCAGGGAATGGCATGGATAATCAGAGAACAGTCCAGATACAGAGAGTGAGGTTCTGTAATTTACAAAATAGCTAAGAAGATGCAAAAAGGCCAACACCCCAACACCCTAGCATCTGATGCTGGTGGTGGTGGGGTGGTTGAAATAGCACGCTCGCTTCAGAAGAGCAGTTTCAGAGGGGTTTTCAAAACAAGCCGTCTTGCCGTTCCACTCTTAAAAAAATCAATGCTAAAGAAGGGGCAAAAGCAGGCAGGTGTTTTGGCTGCCGCACATAACTTGCTGCTATAGGAACTCGTCTTCCCGCCCCGTGTCCCAGGTGTGGAGCTCTCATCCCAGGGCATTGTTGGCACTCCAGGACATGATGCTTACAGGTGACCTTTTCCCCTCTTGTGAACGAAGAGGATTGTGGGAAAAAAAAAACCAAGCAGACTGTGAAAAGAGAGCCGAGACGTGAGAAGAAAGTGGGACAGTTCCGCAGCATCTGGGAAGGGCCCCCAAGTTCCAAAGGCTGGCCCTGGGCTCCCGTCATAGCGGTACCCTGTGAAGCGACATGTTTTCCCCAAAGTGTCTGTTTATCCAGGGAAACTGAGTCAAAGCAGGGCTGTGGCACAACATGCTGAGCCCTTAGCCTGCCTGCAGCCTCTGCATATGTAGGGCTGTGCCTTCCGGAAGGAGCCTAGCAGGCTATGCAAACCCCAGGTCATTTGCACAGTCCCAGGAGACACAGGGGTCTTGAAAAATGTCTAAGTTTGGTTTTCCCGGCCAGGTTTCAAATGGGATTCGAAGAAAACTTTGAATGTGACGTTCTCACACATCCACATTCGCGGGAAAAATCGCCTCTCAAGGTAAATGAGTAGAGTCATTTTCTCACCTTTGATTTTTTTTAACTAGTAGGTAAATATTGTCCGGAGGTAGATACCAAAGTGCCCTGGCTTGTGTTCCCTGCGCTCCAGGCGCATACCTGTGTCAGTGTACCGAACCTGCCGGGAGGCGCAAGAGCTTTTGTGAGTGCCTGTGTTCTTGGAAGTTCTTGGGTCCTGGAGACTCCTCTGGTCATTGTCTTGTTCACCTCCGTGTCCCCAGGGCCCTGCATCGTGGCACTCACTCAGCGAGTGACTGGAAGAATGAACACATATATAAATGAATGAATGAATGCGTGAACAAGCAGTACCTAGCGTTTGCATTAAAGGGTCTGATGAGGCCCGTCTCTGTCGTCCCTACCCAGACCCTGCTGGCAGCGCTTACGGGCTGTGCACATGGCCGTGAAGTTAACCCAGGCAGGCACACACTCAGGGAGTGTAAACAGCCCGCCCCCCCGGGGCCAGGGCTGCCTGGCAGCCTCGCGGGCAGCTTGCACAATCCTGTGAGCTGCTGTGAGTCTCATTTTTAGGGCATGGAGTCATCTCTGCCGCGGGCCTCTCCCTCCTCAGTCTGGATCATCTCTTGGCAACACACAGAGGAACTGTGTGTCTGTTGTCAGTGGGAAAAAGCTCGAATCCTCAAGCCTTCCAGGAAGCCCACTGGGATTAGCCAGAGCTATCAGTGGACTCAAGGAGGTGGGAACGGAAGGGCCGCTCGGACATGCCCCAGGCTGACCTCCTCATTTTGCAGATAAAGGAGCACAGGCTGAAAGTGTGGCGGGGGGTGGGGGGGCCCTAAGGCTACTGGCAGTGTGGCAAGGGCTGGCACAGCCTGGGTGTCCTGGGATGGCAGCTGGCTTCAGAACCAGCCAAATGGAGCTACGCATTCTGGCACAGCCAGGAGTCCAGCCGTGTGAACTTGAACCGGACACGCCTTGCCGGGTCTCAGTCCCCTCCTCGTCCCGTGCTGCTGTGTACCTCGTGCTTTGGCGACCTCACGAGGCGCCGCAGACAGGCAAGCACTGAGCACAGTGCCCGGCTGAGACTCAGGGCCTCCTGCTGCCCCCTTCTTGCCCTTCCTCTCCAGTCCTCTCCCCCTCACCAGGTCTGGGCGTGCAGTGCCATGCTTCCCTCGAAACTCCTACTACCAGGAAACTCACATCCCCTCTGGGTGGTGCTTGATGCGATCGTCTCCATCCGCCCACGTCCTCTCCTGCTTACTCCGTCTTCTCCCACTTGCTGAGTGTGCCAGATTCATTCATTCAGTTTTCTCCCTCCTGTCTTCCTACGGACCGTCCTGGCTCCTGCTGTGTGCCAGGCACCTGCTGGGCAGAGACGCTCATGGCCAGCACCTGCCCGTGGGGAGCTCGTCTGCTTCTCAGGAGAGGCCACAGGGACACCCCTGTGGGTGGGGCGTGAATGGCAGGGGCAACGTCGTGTGTCCTCAGAATCCTGTGTCGTAGCTCTATTTCCTGGAACAGTGGTCCCCCTAAGACAGCGTCTTGGTTCAGGGCTGCTACACCAGATGACCGTCGACTGGGTGGCTTATCCAATGGGCATTTATTTCTTATAGTCCTGGAGGCTGGAAGTTCAAGATCAAGGTGCCGGGGGGTCAGGGTCTAGCGAGGGCCTCTTCCTGTGTAACAGATGCCTGCCTTCTTGTGTGTGCTCACGTGGCGGAGAGCAGAGAGAGCAAAGACAAGCTCTGGTCCTTCTTTTTTTTTTTTTTTTTTTTTTTTTTTTTTTTTTTTTTTTTTTGACAGGCAGAATGGACAGTGAGAGAGAGAAACAGAGAGAAAGATCTTCCTTTTGCCGTTGTTTCACCCTCCAGTGGCCACCGCGGCCGGCACGCTGCAGCCGGCACACTGCGCTGATCCGATGGCAGGAGCCAGATACTTATCCTGGTCTCCCATGGGGTGCAGGGCCCAAGCACTTGGGCCATCCTCCACTGCACTCCCTGGCCACAGCAGAGAGCTGGCCTGGAAGAGGGGCAACGGGGACAGAATCCGGCGCTCCGACCGGGACTAAAACCCGGTGTGCTGGCGCTGCAAGGCAGAGGATTAGCCTAGTGAGCCGTGGCACCGGCCTCTCTGGTCCTTCTAATAAGGTCCACCGCATCCACCACAAGGACTTGGTCCTCATGACCTCATCACAGCACAAGGGTTTCCCCTCCGAGTGCCATCTTATTGGGGGTTGAGTTCAACATACGGGGGCAGGTGTTTGTCGCCGTGGTTAAGACGCTAGTGAAGGTGCATCCCACCCGCGTTGGAGTACCAGGTTGGAGACTTGGCTGCACTCCTAACCCCAGTTTCCTACCGACGCAGACTCTGGGAGGCCGTGGTGATAGCCCAAGTGGCTGAATTTCTGCCGCTCGCATGGGAGACGTGGATTGCGTTCCCGGCTTCAGCTTCAGCCCCATCCAGCCCCAACCTGGGGACTGAAGCAGCGGATAGGATGGGAGCTGCCTCTCTTATTCCCTTCCATGACAAAAGGCCCTTTGTGGCTGCGATAAAGTCAGGCCCTTGGGACAGGCACATGGGGCTGCATCATCTGGGTGTGCACGAAGGTCCTTCTATGGGAAGGCAGGAGGTCACGGAGGGCGGAAGATGCTATTCAGTGGCTTTGAAAATGGAAGAACGGGGACCGGATGAGCCGAGGGATGTGGGCGCCCTGGAAACCATCAGAAGGCAGTGGCCCTGCTGACGTTTTGATTTTGGCTGCCTGGTGGCCTTGTGACCCTGCCAGGACTGGAAGAGAGTGTGTGAATGTTGCTTATGCCCAGACGAGTGTGTTCATTGCTTACAGAAGCATCAGGAAGAAATGCAAACATGGGTGACCGTGCTTCCTGGTGCCCCTGCAGTTAAGTGGTCCCATGGCCCCAACTCTGGTTGATCAGGGTGTGAGCAGGTGACACCGTTCTTATAGGCCGAGGCGTCACCCTCTGCTGCAGGAGCTGGTGAGGCACAAGAAAATGCAGCTATCGGCCCCTTGGGTCCCCAAGTGATTGTGTGGAGCATGGAGCAGAGCCCCCAGCAGAGACTTGTGACAGGCCTAGAGAGGACAGACAGGCGCTTCCGGCAAAAGCCGCAGCGTGAACAAAAGCCCGGAGTAGCTGGAGGAGTCTGCCTGGGTGGCCCCAGGACGCGTGGGGCCATGTGGGCGGGGAGCAGGCGGCCAAGGTCAGGTAAGGGGCCTCTCCGGGCATGTTCTCTCTCCCTGGCTGTGCTCCCGTGGGTTTGTTCATCCTCCTTTCCTGCCGTGTGCACCTGCCGAGCGTGCAGAGCACCTGTGTGCACATGTTCGTGTGCCTGGAGCACAAGTTTGCACACGTGCACCTTCCTGAGTGATTGTGGAGAGTGTGGTTCTCCGGATTGTCTCTGGGTCTAGCTCTGGCTAGACCTGGACATACCGGGTGTCAGTGTGAGGGTGTGTCCTGTGCCGAGGGGCTGCAGAGAGCGTGGCATGGTGGGACAAGACAAGGGCGTGGATGGTCACATCGGAGTGAGCGGAGACACTGTCAAACTCACTGGTGAAGCAGCCGCCGGCGACACGCCCCTTCGGGTGAGTCCTGAGCCCCAGGGGCCAGCCCGAGAGCCGCACAGTAACTCATTAACACGCGTCACACCAGAGCGGCTCACTGTGGAGGACCAAGCGTGAACTGTGTCACATCGGGGTGGCGTGCCCCTTTTCTTCCCCACATCTCTCACTATTTGGTCACTGCGATCACCTAACTCCTACGAACAAGGCGTGCCGTGGCGGTGTGTGACGTTGAAGCGGAAGCTGAGTGTGTGTTTGTGGGCACGTGGGTTTCTCTCACGCTTGCAGCAGCTCGTGTGAGCTGTGGCCCTCTGGCGGGGTCCTCAGGGCTGCTGTGCCCCTGATGGGTGGGGGAGCCCGGCTCCAAGACAGGGACTTGTCTCGCTAAGGTCAAGTGCAGGCCAGGGTGGTCTCAGTGAGGTCCCTGTAGGTGGCATGGCATAAGAGGAAATGTACCTTCCAGCACCCAGGGGACCTGCCTAGACTGTCTGAATGGGGGATACAGTCTAAATCCAGCCAGGCCCGGCTTTGCGTGCCCTTTCCTGCCACCCTGCGGTTTGCTTAAGCAAGCACCACACACTTCGGTTCTCCCGGTCAGGAGGCTGGCTCATCCTCCCCTTCCTGCCAGCCTCAAGGGAGCTGGAATGTGGGGTGAGGGGGTGCCTCGGTGGCGCTGGGAGTCCCCAGGGAGCACGAGGCCTGGGTTACCTGAGTGGTTTCCTCTTCCTCTTTAGGGGCTTTACGACTGAGCTTACTCATTCTTATTCTTTTGGTTTTTTGCGACAACCTTTGCACCTGTCACTCGGGGCTGTGAGAGTCTCCTCCCACCCTTGGGCCCCCTTGCTGCAGGGTTACTAAGGCCTGAGGTCAGAGCCTGGGTGGGATGTGTGGCCGAAGGGCTTGGTGCAGCTGCTTTTCACCCAGCCACCAAGTGCACACACTGCCTTTGCAAAAACAACTCCCTCTTTGGCACAGGGCAGTGTTTGCCCTGGGACAAGGCCCTGAAGCCTTGCATGGGCCCTGTTTATTCTGGCAAAAACCACAGTGAGATCTAAGCATTGTGGGTACATTGACCTTCCTGGATTTCTTATCATGCAGCCTGCCCTGCCTGGGAGCCAGCAAAACACCAATGGGTGCCCAAGAGGAGATCTTAAGGAGTTCTGGAAAGATGACTCCTGCCCCCCTCTGCCCTCCTGCCGTGCAGTGGGGCAGGCAGCCCTGGACAGGGCCACGAGGCTGCTGGGTGTGAGGTCGAAGGAACAGGTGAGGTGGATGAAGCCGACCCTCTCCTCGAGCTGGCCTGACCCTATGGCCTACTGCGAAATTTCCAATCCTGAGTCCCCAGTGCTGGCTGGCCTGGTCCTCTCCCATCATCCAGAACATGTCTTGCCCTGTCAAGCTTCAGATTTTTGCCTGGGTCCTGCCCTCCGTGAGCCACTTTTTTTCTT